TGCCACGAAATCTGCACTTCAAGGTCCACAAAAAGTCCTGCGCCTGCGACGAAATCTGTGCACCAAGGCCCACAAAGTCCTGCACCTGCCACCAACTCTGCACTTCCACATCGACAAAGTCCTGCACCTGCCACGGAATGTGCATTGCAAGGTCCACAAGTACTGCACCTGCCACGAAACACGAAAATCAAAAAATAATCCCAAAAAAAGAAACAAAATTCCAAAATTAAGTCGCGGCCCATATTATATATATGGCTTCCCAGCCACATTTGCAAGGCGGCATTGGTTCTGGTGCGTTGAGAAGGTATGACTCGGTACGGTCATTCCTGTGCAGAAGAATTTAATCTTGAATCCGGCTCATTCTTCTTTTCTAAAACTACTTTGTATCTAGCAAAAAGAGCTAGTTTGTTTTTTTTACACATATTTTTGTTTTGGATATTGAAGATTAACGATGCCTAGAAAAAGTTTTTCCAGCAATCTTCAATCCAGGTCCAAAAAAAACTATTTTTTCTATGCATATGTGTGTATACATATATATGGTACCGACTCGCACATCTGACACTAATGTATCAAAAACACATGAAAAGGGTAGATCTTGGGGGGACACAGCATATATATATATACATACATATTATATCAATATATGGATATAATATTCTGCTATTGTTTTTGGGATTTTTTGTACCCGCCCAACACCAGAACACACAGCTTTAAGCATTCTGCAACTGACATGCAGGTCGGTGGTGATGTGACTGAGCATTCCCAAGCTTCGAGATCAGCTCTTTTCAATGCCTTAGTGGAGGCCAAGGGCTGGACAAACCCTGCTGTACGCGAACAAAGTTGTCTCCGTTAAAGCATGCCAGCCAGACATGTAAAGCAGGTTTGCGCCGAGTCGTACACACACATATCTGTTAATTTACACATACAATTGCGTACACATGCGCATCAAGTTGTGGCCAGGTCACTCTGCGACCAGTAGGGGCTGCGATCGTCGAGAAGCCTGTCACCAAAAAGAAGGCCGCTTGTTGGGACGCAGTGTCCTCAACAAGCGTAGCGTGAACCACTGCCTCAATTTTGACTGCTGGCGTCAGGTACCTCACACAATGACAGTTGCGGAACTGAAAAGATTGGCCCACCTTCTCTTCAAGCAGGCCAATCGCTCACTCTGTCTCCCCCGTCGTCCCCCCGCACCCAAAGAGAGTGGTCACTTTGGTACCTGAGGTTCCGTTGGATCGCCTAACGTTGACTTTAGCAGATGATGGTTTGCCCTTTGGGGTCGCCGCCTTGATCGTGAAACTTACCAACTATAAGTCGCAGATGTCGTGAACCAGTCCTGTTTCAGGTGCCGTTGGATGATGAAGTCCGAGAACTGGGTTTCTTTGGTACTGCTGACGGGTTTTTGGACAAGTTCCCCTTGTCACTCCTTCCCTACCTGCACCCCAAGCAAGTTCAGAGAGAGAGAGAGAGAGACAGATCACCCAGGTATTGGCGATGGTGCGGAAATCCGGGTGGATGACCTTGCTGACATACCATGCAAGGGGTTGGCCTGTCTGAGTTGATAGGGGTTGTAGGGGTTGTCACAAGTTGAAACCTTTTGCAGGGAAACCATGTCGACATTTGCCCTTGGATGGCTAGGTGAACTGCAAAGTTGTCCTGAGCACTTTGTTTTGTTGGATATGCGCTGGGATTTGCTCATGGAAAGGCCCTGCACATGTACAGTGTTTGTGCAGGGTCGTGGAAGGGGTTCATAGAGCGACTCGCAGCCGCATTCATTTTGAGACGCGACGTGAGATTTTGTGCAGCTATGCAGCGCTTGGATGTGTGCTGCATGAATGGCAAGCGAATTCAATCGGCATTGCCGACAACCATCGACAACCTGGCCGTGACCGCAAAGGCGTAAAAGCAGATGTCGCTGGGTACTGTAGTGCAACTGGGCCTATGGTATCCAACGCAAGTGCGGCGACGTTGTCGGGTTGCTAATGCAACAGTTCGAAGTTTAGCATGCCACTGTGAAGGGCGATTTGAAGACATCCACACTTATCACTGGTCACGCTCTGGGAATGGTTTTGGATGGCTGCATCACTATCAAGGTCTTAAACATGAGCATGGAGCAACGCGCCAAATTTTCTCTCAGTCGGGCTCGATGTTGCACATTTGTTCGGTTTGAATCGCATGGTCCAAAAGCTGCACTCTTAGGCTGGAATTGCCCATATTCCGAAGCACTCAAGTCAATCCCCAAAAGTCCTCAAAGGAATACCAGCAAAGAACCAGCGGTCTTATCAGCTTGTATGGGATGAAGGCTTCAGGGCTCGAGCATGCACATGTTTTTTTGGTTATGTGCTACACTAGTGCGAAGGCAATATGAGGGGATAGGGGATAGGGGGGAAACCAGTTTTGCGCTGCTTAGGCCATTTGGGGCATTTGAAGAACAGCACTAGCAGCACTGCGCAAGTTGACCTGCCTGTAAGACCCTCGGTCGGTAGCCAAGCGGGAGATGGCAGGTAAGCTTCCAAGCCATTTGGCATCATTTTTGCGCCACCAGCCAGTGGGATCTACTAGTTCTCAGCAATCTGCTGCAGACACTGGAAAGGCTGCAAGGAAGAAAGCTGCTCGGGTGAAGCGAAGGGCAAAGGCAAAGGATGATCGTGCAGCGGATCGGGCGGAAAAGGCAGAACAGAAAAAGCGTCAGAGTGCAGCGGCTGTCACAGAGAAACCCTCGGCAGAAGAGTTCAAGGATGTGCCCAGAAAGAAGGCACTCAAGAAAAAACAGCAAAAAAGGCATGGTGCAAAAGAGTCCAAGAAATCTGCGAAGAAAGCAGTGACAGAGCGCACAGAGACGGAGGTGAAAAGGTCGTTTGACCCAGAAGGAGCAGAAAGAGACGCGGCACTTCTCAGTGATCTTGAAAAGAAATTGGGTCTAGCAGGCAATGACAAGCGCAAGCGAAAGGAAGAGAAGCAGATGTTTGAAGACTTGGGCTTTGATGCTGAAGATTTGGGAATCGAAGAGCTTCCATCATCAGACAACGAAGATGCCCCTAGTCAGACTTCGGAATTGGTGGAATTGAAAGATCAAGACATGATGGGCTTGATTGATTCGATATTGGGCCAATCTGGGGCAACCATGAAGGCCAAAGGTGCCAAGAAACGGCTGAAGCCCCGAGGAAAGGCCAGAGCGTAGTGTCTCAAGACAGTTTCACAGGATATCCCAGCATGAATGGGACCCGCAGCAAAAGGTTACGTACTGTAAATGCTTCCAAAACCATTGAAGGATGAACCAAGAGGAAGTTGTTGACTCCGGCAGAGGGAGTGTGAAACCTTTTACGTATGAGCTAGGACATGGCAGGTTCGCTTGGTTGGCACATTGCGGCTCAAAAAGAGTATATGCAGAGAACAAGTTGATTTATTGCAGACCTACAGGCCAGGCTCAATCCACAAATATGGAGGAAGCTCCGAAAAAAAACGTAAACCAGCAGCATGCATGTCAACAACTACGGAACTGCACTGCCACACTTTCCTTTTCTGCATTACTGCGGAAACCGAAGCAGATGCCTCCAAAGAGGGGCGATTTCCAGTGCAGCGTTTGCGGTTTTAGATGTCGAGCTGCTCTTAATGAACAATGGGCACCTATGTGACCATTACATTGGCACTTTGGCATCACTTGAGATGGCTATTTTGGACGCCTCCCAGGATATGACTACTTCGGCAAGGAGCCGCCTTTTGATCGTGCAGCTGTGAGGCAAGCCAGATAGCCAACAGCCCTTGAAGTGAGATGGGGTGTGGTTCAACCATTTTTATCTCGTGAGCTGACCCAGATCTACATGACATTGCACTAATGATATATATATATATATCGTCCTGTTTTGGATCGTGTCCTGGAGGTGGCTTGAGGACATCTACGCCTTGAAAAATCCGTGCCTTGTTTGAAGCTACGACTCGGATGTCAAGCATGCGTTGAAATTCAGGGAGCAGACTTAGTCATTGAATGTCTTGAGTCGGTCACAACTAAGGTGTCGTGAAGAATACGGAGAGGTGGTCGAACAATTCAAACACTACTTACAAGACAAGACTTATATTTTGGACGCGGGATGGTCTGGAATGCGGTGCAGGTGCAAACCATTTGTTTGGGGGCACTGTGCAGCGTTTGTGCAAGCCCGGTTTGCGTTGATGATCAGTGCTCTTTGCCAAGCCCTTAGACCTTGTCATGACTTTGCTGCAAGAGCTTGCGCACACCCTGCGCCCCTGTGAAGGTTCTACAAAGTTCGCTTTTGCAAGTCATGTGTGCAAGAGGCTGGATGCTCTACACCCCTGTGTGCTTGATTCACGACTTAGCGATCACATGCTGGCACATACGAGCATCTCGACCTACAGAAAGTGCTCAACCCTCGGTGTTGATGATGGGGCTTGCCAGGCCCAAGGTTACTTTCCGCCTGATGTAGCAGAAGGACTCGCAAAAGACCTGCGAAAGCTGACCAATGCGGATAAACACAGCGACGGTGGGACCGCATTTAGTCTGATGTGAATTCGCCATTAACATACTTCAAGCGCAACATGATATGTTGTCTTCAACTCACACTGCAGAATGCTCGATGGGTTTGGCACGTTTGCAGGGCTTGAAGGAGCCTAGTCTTGAGGGGAAGCCATAGCAGTGGGGATGTTCCTGGAGTTTGCCTGAGTGGCCTGCCTGGCATTTGCCATGTCGGGAAACCATCATGGGAGCACTTGGCTGGGTGCCCTGACTTCATACGCTTGTTGACGTGAGCAAGCAGAGATCAGAACCCCGGGCGCGCAGCAGGTACCAGCTGGATCATGCTGACGGATGTGGTGGGCACATCAGCGACTTGTCTGACTATGCTGTTGTGCCGAGCGAAGTAGTGAAAGCCGAGGTGCTCACCTTCGCTGGCGTGGCAAAGTCGCTTGGCTGGGCTACCCTGGCTCGTTTACAATCATCCAAGGTCACAAGGGCCAGAGTCCGACACCACATGCTGTTGACATGCGCTGAGTGTCACGAATACGCTGACACTAAAACGTCAAAATGTATAGCACTATTTCTGTTTGCGCTTGGCTGTGCAGCAGAAGCTGTAATAGGGACAGTACATGTATATGCATCAAACCGTTTGACTCAGTTCTTTGCAGTCCGGGCTTGTAGAGAGATGATTGCGGTACCGTACGAAGCTTGACAGGTGCTCACTATCACATTTATCATCTCTTTGGCACCAGTTGGCGTCTACACGGCCATTTTGATGTCCAGGAGTGCCTAAGATCTTCACAGCGCGTAAAGAGTCATAAAGAGTCGCAGCCGCTGACTTTTACCGGTGAGGACTGGACACGTCACCAAAGAGTCTCAAGGTTGGATCACACTGTACAGTGGCTCCACCGTGGACTGTCAACATTTTAGGGGCCTGGCAGGTCAGAGGCCATCGAGCATGGGCGAGGCCATTGCTTTCGCGCTTTCGTGCTGTGGTCTTGTGTCGAAGGATGTTGAGTTTGTACTCACAGGCGGCTAGGATGACACTTGGTGGCGACAAAGCTGCCATGGCGGTGTATGCCATGGTCTATGGCTTTGCATGGTTAGGTGATTCTGCGCATGGATTATAGATTGTGGTTCATGCTGCAGTCTTCCTTTTTGCTGGCATTGTGACAGGCCAGAGCTCATACATTTTGGTCCTGGGCAAGTGTTTGCAGGCTCTCTTCGAGCACTTGCTTGATGACATTTTGTTTCCCCTTAGCTACTGTGACAGGGCATTCTCTTCCACATTGAGCTATGCTTGCCAATAGCAACAGCTTTGTCCTGCCTGCTATGCCATCGTCTAAGCACTTCTCAAAACAGGGTTTTTTCCAGAAATCAAGCTTCTGTGTCTTCCCAGGTTTGCCCATCGCCGTGTCAGTGAGACACCTCTCAGACTCTGCGCGACCTCCCAGTCCTTTGTGGGATTGGCATGGGTTTGCTAAGTTAGGGCCAGATTTGATGGTTTGCAGGTTCTCTTGTGCTTTATCAATTTGTTCCTCATTTTGGCCGTGCTGACTATCGTTGGCCCTCAGAGATGCGGCGACTGCAGCGCCACAAACGAGTTCATCCAGCCCCATTGCTTGCGGAGGTCATGGCCAAGATGTACTACGTCGGGCCGGGCTTCAACCTTTTCTGCCATTTGCCTCTTCTGTGTCATGCCGCAGCCGGGAAAAGCATGAAGACGTAACTTGTGTGAGCGTGGCCTCTTACGTGCACAATCTCAGCAACTCTTTGTAGACACTCATGTTCTAATCATATATAGTTATATAGTGCCACGTGTGTTGGGGCTGGTGGCCGTTCCTGCACTCGGTCTCCCATAGGGTCATAGGGCTTCACTTTGCACACCCGCAGGCGCCCGGCGCAAGTGAACACCTTTGCCTTCGCTCAGCAGATGTCCTTCGGGAGTGTGCCTGGAAGCATGTGGTAAAGATTGAGAATTGAAAAATATGACGTCGCGACAAGTGTGATGGAATACAACTGAGATGCATTTCAAGATTATGTTTCAGTTAGGGTTTTCTGTAGTGCCTGCGCGCGCTTCCAGCAAGTAGGTTGCAGTTGCAGCATGTTGGCCTGAGTGACATGAGGTATTCGGTGCCGCATCGAATGTGGTCTATTCCTATGCTGGTTGGATTCTTAAGTATCTTTCTCTAGTTTGCAGAGGAAGTGACACATGGGTTTTCATTTTCAGGACAACCGACTGAGAAAGGGACAAGGTCATGTGGCAATCAACTGTGCGCAACATTGCAGTGACGCCTTCTGAAGTGTCCAAACTCAAAACAAGGTGAGCCCGTGGACCCAAAAGCAAAAAGAAACGCGCAACCCAGGAAAAATAAACAAACACACATTAGCAGGCCAAAACGAAGCATCAGCCCCCTCCAGGCTTCGTGGCAACCATGGTTCTGGTGCGCATCCGTCCACCCCCGTCTGCCATATACACTCCCATCCACCCCTCGGTCAATTTTGAAAGCCCTCCAAAACGGTCATAAAACGATTGCAACATGGCTTCTAACAACCCTTCCAGGAAGCGTGGAGCAGCATCAGCTCCCTCCATGCTTCGTTCCAACCATGAAATTTGAAGCATTGCGGTTCTGGCACGCAACCATCCTTCCAGTTCTGCAATGACTTGGGCTGTCTTTGGCATACATTGCCCAAGACCGTCATATAGGCGCCAGACAGTTCCACTCGCGCAATAACGTTCTTCCGCGAGGCATGGAGTAGCATTAGCCCCCCCACGCGTCGTTCAACTAAGCATCCATCTTCCTTCCACAGCCCCGTCCACCCTCCCATCTCCATCCACAGCCCCGTCCACACCCATCTTCCGTCCACGAAAATGCTTGCCTCGTCTCGCTCTGCCCCCCACTGACGACTAAACTAAACGAGAACCCAAGGGAAAAGCGCGCGCGCGTGTGTACTGCTGTGCCAGCGCTAGTGTTTAGTTCGTAGATTTTCGTCGGCGTGCATCGTTGGCATGATCAGGGCGTCGATGTGGCGGAGATATCCCAGGAGGAGAGGATTTGTCGTTCGTTTTTCTCTGGCAAACCTTTGCGGGCTTCGATCTTAAGAATTTACACCGGCATAGACCCTAGATAGAAATATCGTTGCGGTAAGAAGAAAACAAGACGGTTCCCTTTTTAGTCGGGCTGGAGGTTGGATGTAATATTGTACATATATATATATATACATCAAGTGGCCGTTTTCAATCTCTGCAGCTAGTCCCCAACCCCATTGCAACATGGCTTCTGACAACCGTTCCAGGAAGCATGGAGCAGCATCAGCCCCCTCCATGCTTCGTTCCAACCATCAAATTTCAAGCATTGCGGTTCTGGGGTGCAACAATCTGCCGTTTTGGCCATGACTTGACTGTCTGGCGCATGCGTTGTGCACATTTTGGACACCCAAGACCATCATATAAGCCCTGCAACGCAGCTCCCCTCGCGTCAGAACGTGCTTCCGCGAAGCATGGAGCAGAACTACCCCCACCCATGCTTCGTCTGACCCGGAGCAGCCTGCAATGATGCTTGTGGTGCAATTATGTCCTCGAAACTAGCATATCAGCCGCTCAAGATCGCTCCACTCACACAACGACGTTCTGCCGCGAAGCATGGAGCAACCCTCCATGCTTCGTTCCCCTCCTTCCACAGCTCCTCCATGCACCTCCCGCCTCCTCCCGTCTCACTCCCCTCCATCTTTCCTCCCCTCTTCCCTCCCCACCCCCGTCCCCATCCATGCGCCTCCCGTCTCGCTCCCTCCATCTTCCCTCCCCAGCCCCATCCCCATCCATGCGCCTCCCGTCTCGCTCCCCTCCCTTCCGTCCCCGACAACGTAAGCTTTTCCTCGCTCTCCCGCGGCACTAGCGACTAAACGAGAACCCAAGCATCGGAGATGCTTTTGGGAAAATCGTGTGGGTGCGGTTGTATGAGTAGCACAAGGGCGCAGCTGCTTGCCGAAACATGTAACTTGGTGTTGCTGAAGGTCATTGGCTCTATTTTGAGTTGATGGCAGAGATGGAAAGGCTGGAGTTGGAGAACTGGACAAAACCCATTCATCGCTTCGAGGGCTCGTGTGGCCAACGCATAAGCAGACAGTTCTTGTGACTGCAAAAATTTGACTGGACCAAATCCGAACCTTGAACAGTGTGTCTAGAGATGCCAGGCCCGAACAATTTCCACGAGTGTTTCTCATCAATGTCCCGATTCAGGCTGAAGTTGCATTCTTGGTCTTGTAGTTTCATGAGACACGTAACGTAGTGCACCAAGCATCAAACTGGAAGGTGTCTCTCTACTTGCTCGTGGCGTGCTGGGGTGGGAACCTCAGGGTGGTTACATGAAGCTGCAAACCTCAAATCCTTAGTGTGCTTTGCCCGCAGGTTACCATTTTGCAGGGGACAAGGTGCTTTCACAGTCACAAACTCTGTCCCGTGTTGAAGCGCTGCTTGCATTCAGGCGGAAGGTTACTTCCTTGACAACCTCCCAGATGGACCTGCGTATCGTTGGGTGCCATGCTCATGTTTTGCATCCAGATGAGTTGCACCCTCCATTCCTTGGTGTTTTGGTGCCTTGTTTCTTTGTCCAAGGCATCTGCACTGCTCTTCCTGCATGTTGCGATTGCCTTCCTTGTGAAGAATGTCGTGCTTGCGCGTCAACATCCCAGAAGTGCAATGGAAATGATACATGAACCATGATGAAATATGAAACACGATGATAGCAGGTGATGCCTTTCAGAGATTTCATTTTTTGTTTGCTTGCCCAGGTGCGCTTCACCAGAAGCTAGCCCCCAGCAGAGTCGACGTGGACCTTCGGGAGCCACAGCTTCAGCACAGAAGCAGCTTAGCCTTTCATCTTTGGACTCCTTCAGCAGACTGTGTAGCAGTTTAGCCCGTTTATGTCTTCAGCACGAGTTCTGTTTGCATTTTTTTGAAGTCGGTGCCGTTTTTAGGCCAGGAGGTGCTTGCGCACAGATGCAATTTGCAGGCTGCGTGGTGCGCTTCACTTGGAGCATTTGCAGTCTGTTGCTTTCCTTCAATCACCAACCAATTTGTTTCAGTGAGGTGTGTAAATACATATATACTTACACACACATATATACACATATACAATATATTTACGTCGTATATGTATTTACATATAAGTAATCATCATATTAAACACATTTTGGCTTTCACAACTGGTGTGAGGGAGGACCATTTGGCATTAGTTTAGTTGAGATAGCATGTCAGATAGATAGTGCTCCCACACAGAGGTATTGCTGCTGGTGTCCTGCTGGGCAGTAGCAAATTCTATCCCGAGACTTTGTGGCATAGTCATGTCGGAGATTGTGATGATGATTTAATTAATGTTTGAGATTAAGTTTTAGCAAGGAACTCCTTCAATTCATGAAGTTATCTGACCTAAGGTTCTTCGACGACCTTTTGGCTTTGATAGGCAGGGAATGCTTTGTTAAAGGGCACCCAGAAACTTGCAGGTTGAGAGAGCCTGGAATTGAGGCAGCTTGTTGAGTGGGCCCATCTCCTTCATCTTTCCGATGGTCAGCCTCAGGGTTGTTATGTTCATACACGTGCAACATGCAGCTGTTGCCTGAGGCCTTCATCATGGGTGCCATAAAAACAACACAGGACAAGCGCAAAGTCGGCTTGTAGATGTTTGTAGTTATTACACAGTTCAAGAGGATTTTCCTACCTGATCTTATCGATTGCCAGCTCTTTCTCGATGCTGCTCACTAGGAGGGGCGATCTTCTGTTCAAGGCACAGACAGCCACGTTGTGCGAAAGCTGCAATCATCTCGCAAAAGTGTCGTGATCAAACACAGGTTTTCTTGGACGATGCCAAGGTGACATTTTCTACATGTTGCTCAAAGTGGTAGCCGTTTGCTTTAGAGAGACCCTCGAGTATCCGCGAATGAGACACAAAGCTGAAGACAGTTTGATCAATCAACTTGCAATACTAAACATCAGCAAGTCTTGATGTGTTGATGCCATGGCTGGTGAAGACGGCAGTCCAAGTGAGCGCAGCAGGGAACTCAAGTCCAAGGCGGATGAGGCTTTCCGAGCACAGGATTTCCAGGAAGCGGTGGCTTTGTATACACAGGCGGCGACGAACGGAACAAGGACGCCACTAGGGGCTCCAGGCCTTACTACTAGGAGCAAGGAAGCTACTAGGAACAAAGGGCATCGCGACTAGTAACAACACAGCTATTATTTCTGTTTCACAGGCCTTGGTCTGGACGCCGCGCAGTGAGACTATCCTCTCCAACCGAAGTGCTGCATATGCTGCGTCTGGGAACTTCAAAGCTGCTTTAGAGGATGCAGTTAAATGCAACTCCTTCTCATTTCATCCGAGTTTCAACTTTCTTTTGCACAAAGCCCTCCCTTCAATACCTCCAGGCTAAAGGAAAAAGACTCCATCATGCGTTCCCTGATGAAAACTGGGAAACAACACTTAACCGTTCGCCTTCCAGACTGGTTAGGCGAGGAGCTGGCACCCAGTTGGTCCAAAGCAACCTTCCGACGTGGGATCGCTCTCAGAGGCTTGAAGCGATTTGACATGGCGATCAGTGCCTTTGCGCAGGGGCAGGACCAAGATGCTTGGCAGACATGAGGAAAGGACTCTGTGATTTGGAGTGCTCAAGGGAGCTGCAGGTTGCTGTATCATTTTTGGGGGCTCTTGAAGTTTCGTCACATGGTATACTGCCTAGAGATACTGTTTTGGAAAATGTGCCAAGGATCCCAGCAACCCAAACTGGCACAAGGAGATTGAGGAAACGGAGAAGATGAAGAGTTCTCACCGGAGTGCACGGCAGCGGTCGTAAAAGGGAGTTTGCAGCTTCATCCGACCTGCTTGGAGATTTTGACCAGGTATGTTTCGCCGGCATGCTTCGCCCCATGATTGCTGTAGTTTTATGACCTAATTAAAGCTAACTCCAATGAATCACAAAGGCATAAAAAATACAAACACATTACACAAATACTGCAAAGAACAATAAACAAATAATGCTAAAGAACATACAAAAAATAGGCCTTCAATCGTGTTCACATCAAATGGAACTTGTGCTAGGTCGTGTGTACCTCAATGTTGTTGGCATCCACTTTCGAAGACAAGCGTTTCAAACAAGAGCAGGACGCCTGTGTCAAGCCATACTCTGTAAGATTAAAATCCACGAACAGCGTATGAATGATTCACATTCCTGCTTTTGAGCGAAAATTCAAAAGCAGTCCGCAAGACCTCGTTTGCTTTTTGTGCTGGGGTTCCCCGAGGGTATTTGCGCTCCTATTCTTTCCTATTGTTTTGTATAGTGTTCCTATCTTTTTAATATTGTTTTCGTTTTTTTTCCCCTATGTTTTATCGATTTTGTTCGAGGAAAATAGGAAAAAACACACAATCAAAACAACAATAGCGCAAATCTGTTTTTCCTAGGAAAAAACAATACAAACAAATTACAAACACAATACGAATGAAAGAAGGAAAAATAGAAACAAACATAGGGAGAAGATGGGAGACACATTCGATGAAGGCCTTGCTATGACCGCTCTTCACTTGCCGTCTTACTGAGATGACCTGACCTTCCTTCCTTGTTGCTTTCCCCTGGCTGGCTAGTAATTACTTATACTCAATATATCCTGGTCTATTCTCAATGTGCCTCTTGCGTGATCTTTGCTTTGTTGTGCTGGCCTTTGTCTATGCCACATGCAGCCTCTACTTGGGTTTCAATCAGCGAACAGTTACCTGTTGCAGTGCCTCTTTGACACATGTCATGTTCCCTTTCTTCCTCTGGAAGTGCTGGTTTCTATCGCAGACTGTCCAGTCCGCTTGTGTTTTTATGTGACTGTCCTATTTTCATTCCAATTCTCATTTTAGCATTGTTTTAATAGTTTCCTAAATAGATATATACATATTATATCTTTTATAGACTTTGCTTCTTAGACAGCTCACAACTGTAGTTGGTTCAATTAGAAAGGACGGATGGCACTGCCTTTGAACTTGGACAGGCTGCCAATTGAGCGTTGTTGGAGATGGGCTGCCAGGCTCTTGGTTTTGGAGGGACCATCACAGAATTATCGAGAGATGAACATTTATGAACATGTAGAACTGCAGAACACCGGCAAACCGCTCGCTCAAGATTGTCTTTCATAGCTGTTTGCCAGGTTCGGTGCCTAGCTGAAAGGCTCAAGACATGTTGACAGAGACACAGGCCCTAGCATCACCTGCAACATTTATTAGTCAATATGACACCTCCAAGCTGATCAAGCTTGACGAGAAAGACAATAGAGGACCGAAATGGTGTGCCCTTCCGAAGAACCCGCGCAACTACAAACAAGTTGAAACTTACGAGGTCAAACCGCGTCTCACGTGCAATGCTGTATGTCGCGTGGTCCTTCTGCTCAGCGAACTCAGTCCCCCAAAACTTCGCCGCGTCAAGCGGCCTCAACCAGCCCCCGCTTGGATGTTGACGAGATGCTTCAGAAAGGCAAATCCATGCTGCGGATCAAGGACTATGATGCAGCTCTCTGACATTTCAGTGCCGCATTGACTAGAGCGCCTAGACATGATGGCCTATTGCTGTGGAGGGCAACTGCACTACTTGAGGCAGGAGATGCTGCCGCTTGTGTTCGTGATTGTGGTGCATCCCTGACAGTGCGAAAGATATCGCAAGCCTTTACAACCCGTGGGGCGGCTCGACGGCGCTTGGGCGATCATACGGGGGCTCTGGAAGACTGCTCAGCTGCGCTTCGCCTTGATCCGCGCAATGTGCAGGCAATTATCAATCGCAGCGCGGCACGGATCGAACTGGGTCAACTTGAAGAAGCACTCCATGATTGCAATGCGGCGCTGCGCTTGAGTCCACAGAATGTTCAAGCTTTGGTAAATCGCGCAGCTGCTCAATGTGCTTCTGGCGACTTTGCCGGTGCCGAACGTGATTGCAACGCGGCCCTGAGAGTTGTCCCAAACCACGAGGGTGCTTTGGCAAACCGTGCCCTTGCACAGGAACTTGCAGATGAGGCAAAGGTTGAGGCGTTTGCACAGGCCAATGCACAGCAACCACAATGGCCACGATCCTCTAGGTTTTCTTTCCCTACTGATGCTTCACCGTCATCCGCCCAAAGTGGCTACAGACGTGACGGCTTGCCGCCAACTCCTGGCTTCGGGTGGGGCGAATCCTAAAAACATGGACTCTGCCAGTGACGATTGTTGAGCTTCCAACTTTGTAGAGTTTGCAAGTTCTTTTTTGCATTTTCCTCGGCATCGGGTGGCTAAGGCCAGACGGTGTGGAGAACTCAGAACTCAATTACATTATAACTTATAACTTTGTCATTTACGCTTCTGTGGGGCCGGGCGGGCGGCTGGTTATTCCTGAAGTTGCGAGCAGCAGCCACCCCAAGAGACACCACCAAGGAAAGAAGAGCGTCGACGCCTCTCTTGGGCTTTGAATAAAGGCTTTCTTTGGCATTCTCATCCTTGTTCTTCGGTACACTCAGGTCTGACTTCATCCGCCACTGTCACACCGTCTCCGGCATGCTGTCGAGGACCTGTGCACTTCCCTGTTGGGAATGAGTGGGCCATCAGTTTGCCATGAAGTTGCTTTTCAGGGTGGACTTTCTGGCCTGCGCAATCATCGCGTCCTTCATCCTTTTGAGCATGGTCAGCTTCCAAATTCTCCCAATCCATGAAAATTCAGACTTACTACTTCAATTCAGGATTTGGGTATTTTTCTTATGCCAGGTCCTGGGCACAAGTGGCACGATACGACAAATAGGAGAAAACATAAGCCTCTTGGATTTGAAGATGATTGAAGTCATTGCAGGGAAATCGCTGTGAAAGCAAATGGGACAGGAGTCGCATTTCGCCAGGCACATATGGCCTGCCCTTCGCCTGCCAAGCTCGTGCCGCGAACTGATGGATTGCTTACGCCCAGATGTTGTTGACGGATGATTTGCATTCACCAGCGGACTTAGGCTCATCGCTCAACAAGTGCTGCAATCATAGAGCTAGTGTTCTGAGAGCCGCCAAAGCTTTGCGGTTCGGTCATTGTCAATGGCCGCAAGACGGCCTCAATACAAAATCTATTAGATGTTGAAGTGCAGTTCCTCACAAATGTGACGAGCCCGCTGACATTGACGGCTCGGAGCGGCCTATTACTGACAAGATCTGACAAGCCACACGTCCCACAGCCAAAAAATCTGGAAAGCGTGTGGCCAAAGCCGAAGCCAGCGTGGCAAAGAATTTTGCAGACTCCACTCCACCTGTCGCAACCAGGGAATTAGGGGTTCCGCAGTGCCACAAATCATGTCAGGCAGAGCATGCCGTACTCTTGACGAGAACACTTAATTAGCTTGGAAGTAACATGAAGTAACAATGATTTTAGGTGGCAGGGTGGGTAGATTGGACGCACATGCACGCGCGCGCCTCTATGTAGAGCAAGCGCTTGTCGTAGGTTGGGGCTTGGGTTTGCCAGGTGCTTTGAATGATGGGCGGTTCGTGCACCACTCACCTATCAAAGTATCCGGCAGAATCAGCGAGCCCCCGCCCATCAAGGTCCCCAGCAGCTGGCGGAATCAGCCACCAAAGTTTCCGGCGGAATCAACAAGCCCGCGAAGCCAGGAAGAAAACAGTTTAGTTAGGCTAGGCCCCTACCTTGAAGGGTGCCGAAGGGTGCACACTTCGTCGTGCCTTTAGTTGGCCAGGCCTGAAAATTGGGCCGGAGAGTTGTTTCACGCGCGCGACCATCACCGCTTTGTTGGTCATGACTCGGCTTTTTGATCCCAAGCGCAACAGGGACAGATTGGGGTTGTTTGAAGGACTTGCCAGTGTCCCAGTGGCCCGACGAATGGCACCAGCTTGTGTCATCGGGGCAAGTGAGCGTGCTGGGCGTGTCTTTTCCATGATGCCCCTTTGCGGAGGACGTGCTGACTGCTCTGGCTTTGCAACCAGGTCCACACATGAACCGAAGCATAATGCGCCGAGAAATTGGCGGGCGGGGGTAACGTAGAATCCGGAGCCTGTGGGTTGCTCAAAGGTAGAGTGGCTTGTCAGCTTTGCTTACAGAAGGTTGCCTAAGAAGGACAGTAAGGAAGCAAAAGAGTGAAAGCAGCGCAAGAAGCCAAAGTATGTTCCTTGTCCGCCGGCGCAGAAGTGATCCAGGGGCAAGGCAAGGGAGAGCGTGACAGAGCTTGCGTGAAGTCCAGCGCTTGCGAACGGGCAGCATGGCCCAAGAGACCCGGCGAATGGCTTGCACAACATGTTTTGGAGCGATGTTCGTCGCTTTGACCTTGGCAAGGGCTTGTGCGGCCATGATCGCAAGTTGGAGCGCGTGATTTGAGACCAATCTCAATCTCACCAAGTCTGTGGCGTGCTTGGTTTCGGACATGGCTGATGTCCAAACCTTCGATGTCAGGCCAGCCTATCACCGCTTGGTTTGGATTTTCACGGGAGAATTTGGCAGGGCAAGCGGTCCTTCTTTGCCCATGTGCCTAGTGGCTGTCTTGTCTTTGACAGCTAGGCGCTAGGCAGATTGAGTAGCAAGTATGGGCGAGGGCATCCTTGTCGCACGGAAGATGTGGGCTTTTTGCGCGTGGAAGCATGACATCTCCCTGGATGGTTTTGAGGCTGTTGATCAGGATGCGTGTGGGAGAGGATGGAAAAGAAGGTCTCTTGTTCGAAAGCGGGTATGGCGTCGGGCGATGCAGAAAGCCATCATTAAAGTAGACAAGAAGGCTTTCCGAACATGTTGGACTCCCGCTCCAGGCTGGTACTGTAATGCTGCTGCCCTGTCAAGTCGGCGTTTGGTTCAAGGCGCAGCGTCTGATTGATCTTCTTGGAGGTGATGACGTCAGCCCTTAGTTACATGGTGCTGAAATCCTGTGGCTTCGAGCGGACGTTCCACAGCCACCTGGTCCCTGCGGCGCTGCCAAACCTATATCCTCACTGCATTTGTCACGCCGACGAGCGTAGTTCCCGTGCAGGCTGCAGTGTGAAATTGCTACAGCTGTCCCAGTTTAAGAGTTCTGGCAGTGGCAAAGACTCCGAAAACTTTTGAACCGAAACACAACAGTAACAGTGTCAAATCCAAGCCATCAGTCAAGTTCCAGTTCGACAGGGTTCGATCCACCTTCCCCAGTGCGTTGGGTTTGCCACAAGTGCCAGGTTGTTTTTTGTGCAGCGCCAGGACAATTCTGAAGGAATGTTTCCATCGCATCCAGAAGCGGATTAGCATCGTCCCCACGTCGCCCAACCTAAAGGTGCGAGCCATCCTTGCCTGCTGGCCAAAGAAAAGCCTCCGCTGGAGAGCGTCTCAAGCATTGTGTGAAAGCGCCCGCGTCAGCCGCTATGGGTTCGAAAGGTGCTAAGCTGATTCCAAAGTTAGGTGGAGCGCCAAATGCAACCGAATGCAACGCCGTCGCATGTTGCGGCACTGTATGCGCAGGCGGGAAAATTCGAATACATTCGATCATCATCTTCCCACGACCCACGGCCTAAAAACGTCATGAATCCGGGAAAGCCAGTGCTTTGAGACTCAGAAGCCTCCCCTGTTCCAGAACCGTTTGCGGACTCATGTGCAGAACTATAGGATCATTCTCCGGGGCGTGTGGGGTATGGGACTCAGATTGCCACGCGCCGAAGACTTTGCAATACTTCAGAAGTGTTTCCTTAAAACACAGGACATGGCCTCTGTCCATCGGGCTCAGGGCCATTTCATGCGTCCCGTTTTCATGGCAGGTTTTCACACAGTCCTTGTTCTTTGGCGATGTTTTCGAAAGCTTAACCTCACTTGGTGGCCGGAGGCCGAAGCAGGCCACTGGGCCACTGGCAAGGTGAGCTCAATGCTTGGCTCAAAGATCTTGGTTGGACCACTTCAAGACACCCAGACTGTGGCCGCGTGATTTGGCCTGCCAGTGACAGTTTCACCTGGGCACATAGGCGTCAACGCAGCAGAAACGGTGAGACAGCCGAGCACTTTTTGACAATGTTCGCTATGGTTCCATGGTTACAAAAACCAAGAAGACTCAATCATCTACCACCTTACCAAAGTAATGACCGCCATGTCAAGGCAGTTCACAGGAGCTGCAAACAGCCCAGCCACATGGCTTTTTAAAAGGACTCGAAGTTGAAAGGGCATGTTGTTGGCACCACCAACACTGTCTTGCGTCCTGGCAGCATGTCGCTTGGCATTGTCGGTCGGTTTTTCAGCTTAGCTTTGCGCTTTCGACTGTGGCACAGTGTGGCCTGAACACGTGGATCTTCCGAACCTTACATCCGGACCGTCGAGACAGAGTGTCAGTTGCCGTGGGCGACGCTAACCCCGATCAAGCTCAGTACCTCCTGACAGCAACGCGTGACTTTACAAAGAAAGCCAGTTTCGAACCCGTCCAGCTTCGTCGAAAGCGGGGCGCATCTTTTGTACCTATATAGTGACCATAAAGGTTCGTCAAGGGGGCAGTCCACAGATGTTCCCAGTCGCGACGCCGGCCTTCCGAAGGTGTCCACAGAACCAGATCCTCCGTCTTCCGGCAACATCGCAAAAAGACAGGCTCAGAAACGCGAAGCCGGCAGGGTGCAAGTCCTGATTCCAAGCGTGCCAAGACTTTCTCACTTCCGGCCGGTGCCCAGCCTGTTCCCAACGAGGGGCAAGGCAACTGTTTGCTTTATGCGAGCATCCGCAACCGTTTGCTCGCGCCGGGGGACTGGCTGCCTTTTCGTAGCTGGTTGAATTCATGCACACTGTACATACTTCACTCCTTCGTACTTGCGCTCAGCGGGGGGTGTTGTTTCACAATAGCACTGTAAATGCATGACGTGATAGGTCTCGTTTGGCTCAAGACGAAACAGGTGCGTGTAGGCTAATCGCCTGTTACACGAACATTATATTATGATGAACTGCCTTTGTCCTTTCATGCCAACGGGAGGCGCAGCCACCCTGCCCACTCTGCCATTTACATTCAGAACTCAATATGCACTACCCACTTCTGTGTAACAGTCAACCCCATGGCTACTCCCACCAGCCATGCCACATTTTCATCGAAGAGGCCGTTTGATAGCACATGTTTCCAGTCTTCTACCTAAAGGGACATGCCGCGGTTGCTCTGGAGTGTTTTTGGCTTGCAGTTTGCCCTTCGTGCCCCGAAGCATTTTGACAGAACCAAAACTTTCTCCAAGCTTGACGAGCTAAGCTCTCAACCACTTGTGCTGTAGCAATCATGGGTGGTGGTGCATCCAGTGAACACAAGAACATGATTGAGGGCAAGTCCCCTGAGGAGATCGCTGCTGCTTTGAAGGAGCTGCCGCCAGATCAACTTGCCAAAATTTGGGCCTGTGTGGACAAAAAAGATCCATGCCCTGGCCCTGTGGATTGCAGCACCATCACCGTCATTGCAAAAGACTACAAGGGCATGTTGGCCCAACCTTCGGCACCCAAGTATAAGGGAGCTTTAGCTCAGATTTATGTCCGAAACCAACCGTATGGAGGCTCGGACAAGAGCAACAATGGGCATCGCTACGATTCCATTCCAATTGTCAATGGCATGATCACGGCTGGAATGAGCTGCCAGCTGATCCACTACACGCACGAGGAGCACGACAAGTTCTTCGAACTTTGCAAGAATTTCGATTTCATCATCGTGCGTTGTAACCCTGGGCAGATCAAAGCCGATGGAGGCGACCAACAAAAGTTTGATGATGGCATGCGGGCATTGAGGAAGGCGGGCAAGCAAGTTTGGCCATCGCCCGATGTCATGGAGAAGATGGGCGCCAAAGATGCTTTGTGCAAGGTGGCCACAATGAACATTGGTTTGGAGGACACTCTTGCCTACTACAGTCCAGAGGAGTTCGAGGCTGGTTTCAAGAAGACCATGGCTTTTCAGCCTCGAGTGATCAAGCAGAACCGTGGCTCCTCTGGAGAAGGAATTTGGATCATTAAGCTAAAGGATGAGAACTATTGCAAGGAATATGGAGAGAGGTCCTGCGAAGATGGGGAAAAACTAATGCTCATGGAAGCCAATGACAACCATGAAGAGGAGCACACCGTTGGTGAGTTCATCGAGTTTTGCGTGAAAGGCCGTACGGACAAATCCGGAGAATGGACATCCAAGGGAGTGGGCAAGTACTTGGAAGGTGGCAAAGAAGCTGGAGGACAGCTGGTGGATCAGCGCTTTTGCCCGCGCATTGTCGAAGGTGAGCTGCGCTACAATCTCATCGGTGATTCGCTGATCGGCGTCATCCACAAGAAACCAAAGGAAGGAGGAATCTCCGCAGTTGGCGGAACAGGTTCGATCTATACTTTCTATGGTCCAGATGAGCCTCTTTTCAAGAGTTTGACTGACAATTTCCTCAAGAAAGACCTGCCCCACGTCATGCCTTCTTTGGACTTGGCCGATGAGCCGTTGCCGCTTTGGTGGACCACGGACTTCATCAATGCATCGCCACCAGGCACTGCAGCCGAGGAAGAGAAGTGGATCGTGGGCGAGTTTAATTGCTCATGTGTCGGCATCTCCCGCTGCTTGGCTGCCTACTGCAAGGATGACACCCCCAATGCAAGCTGGGATGATATCTCAGAGGAAGACAAGGCCGAAGCCAAAAAGATGGGCGACTTGATGGGCGAGAAGGCTTTGGCGATCCTCTCCAAGTGAGCCTGTTTGAGCCTGAATTGCTTGGCGTGCTGAATGTACAGCCTTTGATCTCACAGAACCTTGCAACGACACAAAGTAGTCGGACTCAAGACTCATGACTCATGTTGTATTTGCAGGAAAATGTGTGTCATCGTTGTCATTGCAGTCATGCGGCACGGGATGATTGGATGCGCTGGGCCAACTTGGGCCAGAATGCGTCCTGAGTAAACCGCTGACGTTGGGCGTTCAAGGACAAACCGCTGATGTTGTGAGAACGTTGCCAAGTGCAGCTGGTTCACATCAAGAGGCCCTTGCACAAAACGATGTGTTGGGGCACATGAATGCCGAAAGCACACGGCCATTGATTTGTCGGTATGAGATGTTGCGACATGTTATGTATTTGTGTTTTCTGGTATCCTTTGGCTGAGCTTCTCTGCGCCACCCTTTGCCACCAACCGCCATTTTCATGCCTTAGCTTCCGGTTCTGTTTTGTGGCAATCCTTGGCGCCGCAAACCAACAATTGCAACAATGCGAAGCCAAGCCAAAGTCGCCGATGAGACATACAGGTCCATTGTTACCAATCAATCATCACTAATCACTATGACTACGAACATTGGGACCAATGTGTGCCCATGGTTTCCATGCAGATAGCCGAACGTTGCTTCGATGCAGATCATTGCCATTGGAGATGGTTTGTCCTGCAACTCTGGCGTAGGTTGCAGGAACTGGAACTACTGTAAATACAGATTCTTTCTTTCTTGTTCCTAGTGGCTTCTTGTTCCTAGTACGGCCAGGAGCCCTCAGTAGCGTCCTTGCTCCTAGTAGCGATGCCAGGAGCCCCTAGTAGCTTCTTGTTACTAGATTTGAACTACGGCACCGTTGTGGCCGAAGTTTACTCTGGTCACTGGTCTTCGTCACGAACTGTTCATGTCTACCTCTACCTGCTGTTCAAGTCAATGTGCTTGGAAGTGTTACCAGGTTATGAGGCTTGGCCTCATCAAGTTGAAGCACTGGAAAGGGCAGTGAGGGAGAACATCATTTTGAACCTCCCAACTGGCACTGGAAAAACGTTGGTTGCGCGCCTCGCCAGGAATGAGACGAGGGGCTTGTGAATGATGGAAGATGTTGTTGATTGTGAATGTACACTTGAAAACGCCATCAAACACCTCTCATTACTATATAGTCATTGGACTCAATGAAAGACCGTGCGCTTAGGTGCATGCTGCTGGATTGGTTCAAAGCGCCCGGCTATGTGAGTGTATTCGTGGTAAATAGCCGGGCTTTGGTCACCCAGCAAGCGGAGTATCTCAAGAAGCATTCCTTGAACCAGCTCGCCGTTGGAGACCTTGGCCCTCCACATCCAGACGTCAGGTGGCTGCATAGTAGCACCAGTGTTGCTGCTGTTGTAGGTGCTACTGCTCTGGCACCTTGCCACCGATCTCCACACATTCCGGGACAAGGCTAAAGAGAGAGAGAGAGAGAGAGCGAGAGCGAGGAGAGCGAGGAGAGCGAGAGTGCACGAGCAGATGAATAAGACCGTGGCTCTGAGGTGGTGGTGGCGACGGGCGAGGTGGTTCGATCTGCATTGGAGTCTGGCCAACTGCAGGCCCAGCAGCTGGCTTGTGTGGTGCTGGATGAAGTGCACTACGCTGTGGGCCGCTCGGTCACCGGTGTTCTATGCTCTTCCCATGTCATTTGTAGCTAGTAGTGTTACTAGTAGTAATGCCAGGAGTCCAGGAGCTACTAGCAGCGTCCTTGCTCCTAGTAATAGTAGCGATGCCCTTTGTTACTAGCTTCTTGCCACTAGTAGCCTGGGTCTTGAAGTTGGGGGTGATGCCACCTTTAGCACCCGGGCAGCTAAGGGAAGCATCCCTACGCGGAGATCATGGCTCTCTTGTGCCACTTCGGCGCATCGCCCCGGTTGCTAGGGCTCACCGCCAGCTTCTTTCACGGCAGGGCCAAGACAGTGAGGAGCCAAGACGGGGTTGTCAGTCCACGTCAGTCCAGCAGTTTTGGGACCTGCAGGTATCATTCGAAGCACTTAAAGTAGACTTAGCCAGTATGATTTGACGATTGACGTGCCACTGGCTAACTTTGGACCCAAGGGCTGTGAGCGAAGGCTTGAGGCCTTGGAGGAGCTTTTGAGTGCCAAAGTCCACTGCCCAGAGGCAAAGGGCCAGAAACTGCACAGGTCATTCTTCAACCTGGTTTGTTGAGTTTGTTGATTCAGATGCGTGTTGCAGGGCCTTGCGAAATGTGTTTGTCTTACTTGGCTTATCTAATTTATCCTGGGCTCCAGAGCCCTTATATGCCGTTGGACGCTGACATTGTCTAGAGATGTTTCGTTGGTTTGGGGTGCATGCCCTATGTGATGTAGACATTTCAGCCCTGCAGGTGCAAGGAGGTCCTTCGACATCGGCTTGCTTCTTCTCTGTGCCCTGGCGGTGCTGGCTGAGTTCGCTTGTGCCAGCTGAGTTTGGGGCATCCTATACTCTCACCTGTCCGCCAGGTCTGCCAAAAGCTTCGGACTTCAAGAGATGGCTGCACTGGAAGAGAAATTTAGCCGAGCCCTTGTGAATCTTGAGATGGGATGCGCTCTGGCAAGTCCTTACGCAGCAAGCAATGTCACCTGCACAGCCGGCACCGCTGCAAAGAGCGCGGTCCGGAGCACGTTTGGTGCCGAAAACTGGGAGTTCCAGAAAGTCCTGGAGAGCGAAACACCTCGTCTCAGGGGTGTCCTAGAAGCCATAGGCCCGGCAGGGTGGTATGGCTTTGTGGCTTGGATTGCGCTTGGGTGAATTACTGTGTGGGTCGGTGCTTCACTCAGGGTTTACCTGCCCATGCACTGTTGAAGGCTCAGCACAGAATGAAGGTCCGATGCAGTGCCATATTCTGTGACATTACTGGACATTACTGTTTGTGCCTTGTATGCTCCTCGCTCGCTTTTTGCACATCTGACTCCAGCTGAAGGTGTGCTATGCCCTTCCAGAAGTGATGATGGCCAAGCTTCAAAGCAAGCTTGCCATTATGGAAGATGAGGTGGTGAAGTCCAACTTGCTGAATGCCATTGCACTGGTGAGACCCTTCCAACTTGCGCTGATGCAAGGTGAATCGGTCAAAGAACTTCAGCAAATGGAGGCGGAACAAGCCGAGCAGCACATCACTGGGAAGTGTCAGACGTTGTTAACTCTGCTTGAGCAACTCCTTCGAGATGGGGAGGACAAGATTCTGGTCTTTGTGGAACGAGTTTCTGTGGCTTGCTGTATGGCACGACTCATATCTTCTCGTTTAGGCGTGCTGGCCTTGCATGTGGCGGGAGTCCAAGGAATGGATGGGCCCACTCGGCAGTCCAATCTGGCTTCATTCCGAGGTGAGACTCAGTTGTTGGTTGCCACATCCTCTCTGGAGGAGGGTTTGGATGTGCCCATGTGTCGCTACGTGATCCGCTACGATTCCTTCAACAGCGCCAAGAGTCATGTGCAGGGGGGCGGGTCGTGCAAGGCATCCAGATGCACGGGTGTACTACTTCGAAAATGATCCGTTGGTCGAGGAAGGCTCACGGGAGTTCTTGGAATCAATCGCGCGGCGTGAGTGTGTAGAACCTAAAGACCTTCCGGCCGATGCCAAAGTCGCCGTCTCGCATCGAAACGAGGAATCACCCGGTGTGGGTGTCGGCCACAAGTGGAGCATTGAATCCACTCTGTGGGACTACCAAAGCAACAAATCCTTTCGCGGAATGACCTGCCCCTGTGGAGCCCGAATGAAAATCACCAGCCGGGCCTATGGTCAGGGCCGCAAGAAGAAAGAGCGGAGCTTCTGTGTGGAAGGTCCACGCAGTTGTCCGACGTACACTGAGGAGTTAGATGCTCGTTTCCAAGGTGTTGATCCAACCACTGGAATTCTGCGGTGAGCAAGACAATGTGGCCGGGAGCGACTTTTCATGAATTTTCACCAGGAAGCAGTGGTTGAAATTGGGATGCCTTGCAGCGTCCAGTGCCCTTCGACTGTGTATTTTGAAGCTGTTGTGGCTTAACAAGTCGCAGGGCTGGAAGACTATGGAAGACTTGAGTGACCGTGTGTCCCTTTCTTTTGTTTGTGGGCGAGTTTCAACAAGAAGATTGCATTATGTTTGGTGGACCCAGTGGCAAACATTACTGTAAGGGGCAGAAGACTTACAGTATATAGCTCGTGGCATAGACTCTTTTAACGTGTGGCTTGGATTGTGGGTCCTGAGCCATGCTCGAGACTTGCCCCGTTTGCGGAGACAATCCTGCAGGAGGCAAAGCCACGCCAAGCTGTTCCACATAGGATTGTGGCCACCATATCAATTTCACACTTGTGGAGTGTGGAGCTGGGGGGTCGGAGTGTGTGCAGGCAGAGAGATTAGAGGCTCTCAAGCGAGACATGGAGGATGTTCCCCAGGTTTTTGCTGCAGTTCGGAGAGCTGGTGGCGAGGACAGGGAGTCCTTTTTTCTTAATGCGGCACCAACTTGATTTGGTTCACTCTCATCATTGCACTCTGTCAGAGACCCGGAGACACCCAGGACCCCCTGGATATCCACAGCTCTTTGTTGTCTATAGTGTTAGCTGTTACAGTAGTTTCTGTGACAAGACCTTGCCAGGAGGCTGAGCTGCATCCTCTGGCAGATATCACCAACAAGGAGATTGAGGAGGTGAAGCAATTGAAACATCCCCCCCCGTGAAGTGGCGCGTGTGATGGAGGTGGTCCATTTGTTGCTAACGCAACCCACTTCCTTAGCGCCTTGTGATTGGAGCGATGTGCTGCGCACTGTAGTTCGCATTGACTTCCTAAAGCGTGCTCGGAACATCAATTTGGACGGACTACTTCAGCAAGCGAAGCTCATTGACTACATTTGCCGCAAGTAGCTGTGCTCAATGCACTATCATTGCACTTACTTACTGCAGCTGAAGAGGGAAGAAGATGATGAAGATGTGGTTGCTTGAAAGTAGTTCTATGTAGACCTCAGCATCAAGCATCGGTTGCCCTAGTATATATTTTATAATCATAAGTGTGCAGTATGCTCGAGTCTTTCCAAATTTGCCCTCCCTGTGGACCTCCGGAGGGATGTGGTAGCTTCCTCATAATGACTGGTGCAGCAACCAACCGTTCACCTGTTTTTCACCTCAGGCCCTAGCCTTTGAACTTTGCCTCGCACATCTCACCAGCGGCTCAGACTCATCCAATACTCAGGTACTTTGCTGGCCCCGACCCTTTGACACCTGACCGAGTGCGGTGGGCAAGCAAGGCCAGGCTCCGTGCAAGAGCTTAGCAAACTCAACGAAGCAAGTAAGAAGCCTATTCAATCTATCTCAACCTATAGAACAGCATCTCTTGAAACCATGCTAGTATTTGTGGCGTCCAGCTAGATGGAGATTGTGTTCAGTTTGGTTCGGTGGCTGTGTTTAGAGCATGAGATGGGTGATGGATGCCATTTGACGATGATGAACGTGGCGATTGCTATAGGCTGTGGTTGCCTTCTTTGGATGGACGGTGGCGATCATTGCAGGTGTCCTGCCTGAATTTCCCACCAAGGCCAAGGGCGCTGAGGGGACCTGAAGCCGTGCAAACAAGGAGATGAAAACAGTTCTAAAGGTCTAAAGACAGAAAAGAACAAAAAGAAAGGACCTACCTTTCTGAGGATAAAGGATAACAAAGGTATAGAAAGGTCATGAAAGGTCTAAATGCTTAGATGTCCCTGCTCCAGCATTGATTCAGCATCGCAGTTTGTGCCGATGTGGGGTCCACGTCTCGGGAGGTCGCAGGCGAAGAAACCCGGCGCAGGATTCAACTCCTGGACCAGGAGAGTTGTCACTTGGAGAGTCAAGATGAGCTATGGAAGCTATATACGGTATATATCCACAAATATTTGAAGCAGAATCAGAGTGCTTGCATCATGGTTTTTGGTACCGCGGCCCCATGTGTTGTTTTTGCCTTAGGGGGTTAGTTTTGCAACAGGTTATTTGAGGCCAAGGACTACCGGAAACGGTATATTTCCATGAATTTCAAGGCAGGATGCAATTCCTTTTTCCTTCACAAGCGACAATGTCGGTACCCACCGTGCAACATGCGCGCAGTGGTGGCGGGGTGCGGCACCATGTTTCTGGTTCAGATTGCCTCATTGTGCTGAAGCAGACCCATAGTCTATCAACATAAAGTCATACCAAAAGCTAGAAAAAGGACTATGCTGAATATAGCTGAATAATGATACACTTAAGAGATGTGTACACACCACCTGAAGTATTTGGAAGCCACAAGCATTGCGTTGGCAGAAGCGGGTTGTGACTTTTGCGCGAAGACACGAAGACTCGAAGACACGCGAAGACACGAAGACACGCGAAGACACGAAGACACGAAGAGGCTTCAGGTCTTCAAGGCTTCAGGTCGTCAGAAGGCTTCAGGTCGTCAAAAGGCTACAGGTTGTCAGGAGGCTTCAGGTCGTCAGGAGGCTTCAGGTCGTCAGAAGGCTTCAGGTCGTCAGAAGGCTTCAGGTTTTCAAGGCTTCAGGTCTTCAGGTCTTCAAGGCTTCAGGTCGTCAGAAGGCTTCAGGTCGTCAGAAGGCTTCAGGTCTTCAAGGCTTCAGGTCGTCAGAAGGCTTCAGGTCGTCAGAAGGCTTCACGTCTTCAAGGCTTCAGGTCTTCAAATCTTCAGGTCGTCAGAAGGCTTCAGGTCGGCAGAAGGCTTCAGGTCGTCAGAAGGCTTCGGGTCTTCAAGGCTTCAGGTCTTCACGTCTTCAAGGCTTCAGGTCTTCAAGGCTTCAGGTCGTCAGAAGGCTTCAGGTCGGCAGAAGGCGTCAGGTCGTCAGAAGGCTTCAGGTCTTCACGTCTTCAAGGCTTCAGG